CACCAACACATAATACAGCAATCGTCGTTCTTTGTGTTTGCGGGCGAGTGGAGGCCAAAGGCGACTGCGCGTCGAAATTTCGCAAAAAAACACCTCCAAGAAACGAACAATCTATCGCTTCTGCTACATGACACCCGTGACCGAGCATGAACAACAAAACTATGTACGCTCGGGACACAAATGAATGATAACTACAGTAGAACGCACCGAAGTTGAGGCACAGGATGATCCCCACGTTGAAGGTCCTCGTTAGCTCCCGCAGCCTCCAAGCGGATGCCGCCCTCCTGGCGGTGCTGCCCGCCGCCGCCTGCTCTCCCCCGCCCTCGCTCTCCAGCGTCTCGCTTGCACCGCCCCGCGCTCCGAACGCGCCGTCCTCCCACCGATGTCGGTCCTCACTCATGAGCGTCGGCTCGTCCAGCCTCGCCTTGACAAGATCCTGGCACTCAGGGCACTTGGCGTTAATCTCCGGGGCAGTGCCGCCGCCGCCGCCGCTGCCGCTGCCGCTGCTGCTGGCCACCACCATCGGCACGGGCAGTATCTTCTCTGGGGTGGCTTGCACCCGCAGGGCCGTGATGATCGGCGACCCGGAGCCTCCCGCCGCCCCCGCCGCCGCCGGCCCGGCCGCCCCCCCGCTGCTGGCGGCGGCGGCGACGGCCGCCGCCGCCGAGCCCTTGGTGGCGGGAGCGACAAACCTGCCGGAGGCGTTCACGAACCAGCTCTCTCCCGCCGGGGCCTTCTGCTTTGCCGGCGCGGGACCTGGGACAAAGTACAGAGTTTCGTTGCTGCCGCGGCGTGGTTGTTGCGACTGGGGGTGCCACGGACTTGATACCTCCTGCGGGCGGTGTTGGCGCTGCTGTAGCTGCTGCGTTGCTGTTGCTGTCATGGTGGTGCTGCTCCGGCCATTGCTAGCGGCGGCCATAGACTTGAGAAAGGTGGAGGTGTTGGCCGTTTTTGTTGATGATCCGTCCGCCCGACGCAAGTGCAACAGCAGTTTATTTCTGCGCTCCCTGCTGCCGCTGTCGACAGAATCTCCTCCTCCTCCTCCTCCTCCTCCGACGCGGTGGTGTCGGTAAGGCTTAGCGCCTAGAGGGATTAGCAGGCCAGTGCTACTGTGCTCAACAGTCATCCCCAGCCACGCTGCTTCTCCCTGCTGCTGCTGCTGCTGCTGCTGCTGCTGCTGCTGCTGCTGGCGAATCTCTCCCGCATGCCCCGCCGCATGGTTTGCTGTCGGTGCCGGCAGAAGCATTTGCTGGTGTCGCCCTCCGCCGCCGGTGATGCCGCGCGAAGTCGGCAGCACCGACGCAGCAGCGGAAGGAGGTCCCCCGAAGGAATTTCTCCCGGAGGCGGGGTCCACCCTCTGCTGTTGATGGTGGTGGTGATGGTGCTGCTGCTGCTGCTGCTGCTGCTGGGACTGTTGCTGGTGACGGCGGTGTTGCTGCTGCTGCGGGTCGGGCAAAGCGCGCCGCGAGGGAGGACCAGCGGCAGCAGCAGCAGCAGCAGCTGCTGTTGCACGATCAGCCACGCACGGAGATTCAGCTGAACTGAGTGCGAGGGCTGGGTCGGGACCCATCTTGGAGCGGGCACTCGCCCGCAATCCTTGGGGCTGCACTTTCTCCCGGCGGCGTCCTCCTCCGCCTCCTCGTCCTCCTCGCGGCTCGCGCCCCTTGCCCCCTCTCTCCTCCTTAGTGCTCACGTCGCTCCGTCCTCTCTTGAACGTAAACTGGTCCGATTATTTTTTCAACACGGTGCGCTTGCTGTGAATATCTCTCCCTCTCTCTCACCCCTCCTGTCTTCTTGCCCCTGCCAGCTCCGTTGCAACGTTTCTACAGCAGGGCAAGTGCCTGCTGCCGAAGCACGGTCAGAGTTTACACCAGAGGTCCGCCGTCCTCTTACTGGAGATTGGGGGCGGTTTGGAGACTCCTCGCGGGTGCACACGTCCACACCATGGAATAATGTGAAATTTTAGCGTCCAGGTGGTGTGTGTGACAGGATGTGACGTTTTTTAGTAGCGGGGGGGTTGTTCAACATCCATCTCGAACACATCTGGAACGCGTGTCTACGAGACAGGAGTACTACCCCCCGCTGCAAACTGCGTAACCCCCAAGTCGGAGACGGAGAAATGAGGCGAGACGGAGAGAGCGCGAGCGCACACTTATCTCAAGATAGAGAGGGCGTCCCGGCTCTCTGGTTGTTGTCCTGACACAGCTCCCGCGCGCACGACACGCACACACCATGGTAGCGTTGCACGCTCTGATTCTCCTGGTGCTGGCCGCTCCCGCCCTGGCCACGCCCCCCATCCCGAAAGAGTTTTTCGAGGCGCAGAAACGGACCGAGGAAGATGGCAAAGTCGCCAATCGCTTTCGAGCCTGGATGGCGCAATACGGCGTGACGTTCGGCACGAAGGGAGAGTTCGACCGTAGGATGAGGATTTTCGCGGAGAACAGGTACGAAGAAGGGGCCTGGGGGGGCGGGGGGCGGTCTCTCTCCCTTCCGAAGAATTGACTCGTTTTTCAACTTGATTTGAGCCAGTTTGAAGTTGAAAAGGGCGACGTCTGTGCAGCAGCTTGATCGCAGTGCTACCGCGCCACCGCGGTGTACACGGCCAGAGGGCCCGCATGTGGTGATTGCTATTCCGATACGAGGAGCGCTTGAGAGGATGCCGACCTCGTCTGTTTTATATTTTCATTTGTTGTAGGAACGCTTGCGGTATCTATGAATCAACTTCACATCGGCCGGATGTTTCAAACTTCGGAACAGCAGCCGTCCGGTGCCCCCCCCCTTATCCCTCACGGTATTTCATTTGCTCCGCTTCTCACATGTGCACAAATGCATGCAGAACACGCGTTTGCTTGCCCACACGCCATGCGACGACGACAATGTCGCCTGCCTTACCACAATCTGTCCCTCCTTCTCCTCTAAACGGCGGCCGCTTGCCTTTCGTGCGAGAGCAGCGACCTTATCGACACACATAACAGCGCCAACGACGGCTCGACTTTCACCCTAGCCCACAACGAGTTCAGCCACATGTCGTGGGATGAGTTCAAGGAAACGGTGAGCATTCTTTGACTAGAGAGGAAGGGAAGGAGTAAAGCAAGTAATTTCAGGCCGTTCTGCTGGCGCTTGTTGTTCTGCCTCCCAGGGAGGAGCTCTCTCTCGCCTGCTTGTTCGTGTTTTTTCACGGGGGGCTGTGGCGAGATATGTAGTATACCAGCGAGCGAAAGAGAGGGAGAGAGAGATGGGTGTAGACTGCTGGGAAATGCTGTGGGTTCAGAGGGGGCTGATTTCAAACGGGCCGTTTGTGTCGTGTTGCTTTGAACGCGTCGAGAGATAGCAACAGAGCTCATTCGATCCTCGTTATCTTGTTAGTTCACTTGGTTGACGGGGCACGGGGCCATCATCCCGATGGAAAGATTCAAAACAACCGTGTCCCCTGTCTCCTCTCCCCCCCTCCCCTCGGGCCAAAAATCTGCACTATTTAGTCTACGCGGCAAAGTTTGATGAAACAAACATCTGGGAGAAAGTATTCAATCCGTGCTCTAGGGTTAGGGTCAGGGTTAGCTCCAAAATCTGGCTAACAATGTCTAGGAAATGTACGTTGCAGGACGTACCACCGTCTATGGGCATGCCTCTCTTGTGAGTACTTCGTGTGAGAATCCCCCAAGGATCTGCGATGATAATCCCCCGAGGAGTCGGGATCGCGTATTTGTTGTAGTTCACCGTTCACTTAGCGCGGATAACCCCCAGGGATGAGGCGTACCGCACGTCTTCCACGAGACAGTAGAGTTTCTCAACCCCCACCCCCCTCCCTCGCAGACCAAAATGCTCCAGAAGGTACACTACCAGTTCTGAGATTGTTCCCGATGTTGCCATGTGGAAGCCCGCTGGGGAGGCAAGCGTCTATCCTCTCTCCTACTCTGCCTCTTCTCTCCTCCCCCCCCCCCCCCCCCCCCCCCCCCCCCCCCCCCCCCCCCCCCCCCCCCCNCCCCCCCCCCCCCCCGCGTTCCTGTCGCTTCGCTTTCGCTTGGACAGAAGTGAGCAGACATACCCACATCCTCTCTCGTGGCAGTAGACATCAGTAGCATGTTGCCGTCAGAGAAAACAAACGGGGGGTGGTGTCGGGCGCTGTTTCATGCGCCCAGGTCTTGGATCGCGCGAAGAAAGTATGCACTCAGGACCAAGATGAAAGGCAATATCGTCGCGCTCTCCTTTTACCTAGAAACTCCAGCAACCACACCGACCCCCTTGCCGACATGTTCTCCCTGCCCTTTCCCTCCCCCCTCTCCCTCCCGGACGAACGCGCTCCTCACGGACGTGGCAACCAACAATAGCACTTCGGGTACAAGCGTTCGAGCGACAAGCGCAAGCCCGCCCAGCAGACGCCGGAGCGCCGCCCGGTGGAGAAGGTTGCCGGTGGGCGAAGGAGACTGGTCGGGATCACTGAGAACGAGATTCCCGATGAGGTTGACTGGGTGCGGGAGGGCGCCGTTACGCCCGTCCAGAACCAGGTCAAGCTACACATTGTTTATTTTTTTCACACTTTTTCAGTGGTCTACGCAGGTTTTTTTACTGAACGTACGTAACACATGCTTGATTGATAACAGAGTGGGCTAGGTTGGGGTTAGGATTAGAGTCTTGCGTGTCTTGGTCTATGTTCGTTTGTAGGAACCCTTAGCTTTCGTTGCTGTAGGAAGTCCCTCTTTTTGTACGTCTGAAAAAAGAGGGTTGGCCGCTACGCCCGTGTCCAGAGCATTTTTTTTGTTTTATCGGTTCACTTAAAAAAAGAGTTGGTGGTATTTTTCTTTTCACAGCAAGCCATGCTGCTGCTGGTGTCGAGGAATCTACAAGGCATGAAGTATGCTGTGCTGACCGTTGAAGTGCTGTTGTGGTTGTTTGTGCGTAGTCCACGAAACTGACTCTCTCCGGTATGGACGCGCGTGTGGTCCGCTGCTTTGCTCGTTGACGTTTTTTTTTTTTGTCTTCCCCGGATGCTTTCATCGCAGGGCTTGTGCGGAAGTTGCTGGGCGTTTTCGACCATCGGCGCCATGGAAGGAGCCTACTACCTGGCCACCGACAACCTGGTAGGTCGCTGTTCCTTCATGGGCAGACGGGGCACGATAAAATCCATGCATGCAATTGAAAAACAGTTGCAAAGGTGTTGAAGGAGAACGTTGGAAGAACGACTCGTTCCCACACACCCTCCCCCCTAACCGCCACACAAGACACCATGTGCACTATTGAAACATCGTGTTTCCCACCCAATCCCCACCCGCTAAAAACACACCGTATTGAAGCGTTATGTTTCCCACGCAATCCCCACACGCTAAAAGCACACCCTATTGAAGCATTGTTTCCCACGCAATCCCCACACGCTAAAGACACGCCCTTTTGACGCATTGTGTTTCGCACCCAATCCCCTATGTGGCGGACAGATCAAGTTCTCGGAGGAGCAGCTGGTCGACTGCGACAAGGTCGACAAGGGGTGCTTCGGCGGCGACATGGAGCAGGCGTTCGACTGGATCAAGGCGAACGGAGGCGTGTGCCCCGAGGACGAGTACCCGTACGTCGGACTCTGGCCCCCGTTCAAGACCTGCGCCACCACCTGCACGCCCGTCGAGGGCTCCCAGGTTGGAAGAGGGTTGTCTCTTGTTGGTGACACTCTCGTTCTGTTGTGCTACCTTGTTGTGGATGCATGCGACGGCTCTCAGGTGACGCACGTTGTCTGTTGGTAGTGCTCTCGCTCTGTTGGGGAGCAGCGACCATGGGAACTACCCCCCCTGCTCTCATCCCTTAGTCGTTATTGCCGTCTTTCTCCCTTTCCCCGTACATGCTCGGTTCTCCGCTCCCAGGTAAAGGAGTGGGCTCAGGTCAAGGCCACCGACGAGGCTCTCATGACAGCGCTCGCGACGGTCGGGCCGATCGCTATTGCCATCGAGGCCGACCAGATGGCGTTCCAGTTCTACAGCGACGGCGTTTACACGGCTCCTTGCGGGGACAAGCTGGACCACGGTGTGCTCGCCGTCGGATACGGCACGTGGGAAGACGGGACGGACTACTGGTGAGCTTATGCGGTTGGTGTATGCGTGGGAGGGGCCCTTGGACGTGTTGCCGTCAGTGTGTCGAGACAAGTATGACGAAAGTGATGGTGCTTTTGCTCGGTGACGGCGTTGCAGCAGAGTTTGCGGAGAATCGGCAATCATCGTCGTCGGGCCCCCTATCTTGGCAGCGATCCCCTTCCTATTGTCGTGACGGAGGATCTTGAAGGAATTGGCCGTGTGCATCTCTTCTGGGTTTGTTTTCATAAACATGTCTTCACACGAATATAACAGTATGGCCTAGGCGGGCAGTACCGTATTCATGTGTCAAGTTCCTGCGTTCTTTTTTGGGTCTATTTTGACACAGGACCCCACCGCGCGCACCACAAATATCCCCGTGCTAAACCCTTGCAGGAAGGTGAAGAACTCGTGGGGCGACAGCTGGGGCCAGGGCGGGTACATCCTTCTCGAGAGGGCAGACTCGGAGGAGGACGAGGGCGGCCAGTGCGGCCTCCTCATCGAAGCCATCTACCCCATCCTCGGCACGCCCGAGGAAGACGCTGACGCGGAGGCGGGATTCGCGGTCGAGGCCGCCGAGGTGACCGCGATGTCCGAGGCGGAGCGCGAGGCTCTTTGGGCTCTGGTTGACCCCTCCGACGTCACGGCGAGGCCGGTGGGCTTCCAGTCCAGCGCCAGCGCGAAGGACTGCGGCGGCGGAACCAGCGACGTGGTTTTCCACGATGGTAAGGATATATGTATATATGTGTATTTTCGGGACCGGGGTGTAGGGGGTGCACCAGCACAGCAGCCGGTGGCTGGCCGCGTGGTTGGTTGACTTTTCTTTCATCTTTTGCAAACATCCAACCACTAGAGATTGTTGCGACACCATCCGAAGTGGTCACTATTCCGTCGTTCTGATTTTCGAGCTGCAATTACTCTGAGTAACCGCCTATCTCTTCCACACACACACGCCCCCCCCCCCCCCCCCCCCCCCCCCCCCCCCCCCCCCCCCCCCC